CGTTATTTCAATAATAGATTTTACTAGCCCTTAATCTGCAATATATTTAGCTTGTATATTTCGGGCATATGGCATGTATTTTTTTTATATATATTTTCTCAAATTACTTATTCATTTATTATATTATAGTTTCTAATTATATTAGTTAGTATTATATTAGTTAGTATTATATTAGTTATTATTATATTAGTTTATCTCAGATTCCATGAAGTCTTAATTTGTCCTATTAAAGGTGATTGAGATAAGAAATTATAAGCCAGTGGAATCAGAAAGGGTCACTATGCTACTCATTTTGTTTCATAATATTAGTACAAAGTTCAGGGTGCACTGTCAGTTGTAATGTAGGAAGCTAGGAAAACAAACGAGTCAATGGTAGTAAAAGGTTTAAAAATTCAATTCTTTCTAACTTTCCGAGAACATCTCACAAGCATTGCGTGTTTGGCTGTAAAATCATCCTTGTTCTGTGTAACAAGACTTGAGTATGCACCATAAATACCCTATTAAAAAAACACATCATTTGAATTGCCAAGATATTCAATGGGTCAAAGGGAAGTGTAAGGGCAGTTTTGGTAATTTGAAGAGTCCAAAACAAGGTAATGCCTGCTTTACCGATGTTGTGAACAGGGGTTAGTTTCATTTGCAATGCAAGCTATTTTTTTGGCTTGTTTTTGTTATGTTTCTGGTTTTTGTTTGAGCACCACAAATGGATTTGGAACAATCTAATATACTTGATTCTCAGATACAGAGTCTGAAAGTACAGAAGGTGGAACACTAGAGAGTGTGCAGGACAGAACAGTTGGGGCAGCATTAACTTCCAGTTCACAAAATAATGGTTTGTTTGAATTGTTTGTTTTTCTTCTTTGTAGTGAAGTAAGTACAAGTCGCAATAATTCCATAGCGGTATTGTTTTGCAAGACTTTCTGATGTTTTCATCAAAAACTGTAATTTTTTTCAAGACCTGCGCGCATGTACATGTAAAGTTGATCTAGTAAATAGTATGCTATGAAATCCCTGTTGGTTGCATTTTAATTTTTGTTCTTATCTGTTTTCTCGATTTCAACAGTGATGGTGGTGTGCAGACGTGACACAGTTGTCCTGGCAGCTGGCCATTTAGAGGAAAATCGACGAGAAATTCACGACAAGAGAGTGCCAAAAGATCGTGTTTGTGTGCTGTTAACAACAGCAAAGCCTGATGTTATTGCACCATTTATTGCTGGCGATCCAGATGAAAACTCTTTTTTGGAGAAAGGAAAGTAAAAACGAAAG